AGTGACTTTAGCATTTCTAAATTCAAAGCAAGTTCCAGAGTCTTTATGACATTCATTTCAATGTTTCTTTCTTTTCCCATCTTTTCCATCTGACTGTCTCCACGTCCAATGTCCTTGATGTAATCCTACATGTCCTTGATGTAATCCTACAACTCTCTTCTGGTATTTGGTCATGAGAGTTTAATTTGTTTGGGATGTTCCAAAGGTGCACGTTGGTTCTCAGGGACATTTTCTAACTTTTTCAACCCTCCTCATACTTCCATGATGGTCCCCTCCAGGCTTGGCCACCAGCCTTGTTCCAGTTGATGACACAATTGAGCTCCATAGTTTCTCTCAAGAGAAGGAGGCAATGGTATCACCATGGCACTACTTTAATCCAAGATACCATGGCTTATCATGGAATTAATTCACAGTTCTCTAGCAGGTCTGTTCTTATTCATAGTTATCACTTCTCAACCAGTAATGAGAACACTCTTCTAAAAACATACATTTTAATCACATTTTTATCCTTTTTATAAACTCTTTAAGGACTCCTTATTATTCAAGAATGAAAATAACAACAACAATAGAAATCCACTAACATCATCTGTAGGTTCATGCTTCACCACTGACACGTGGGTCCCTTAGTTCTTTCTTCAGTTCCTCAGAGCTTTTACGGTCTCAGAAAATGTACACATCTCATTTGGACCACGTATCCAGTCTTCTTCCCTGTTTAACTTGTAGTTCCAAAGTCACTTCCCCCCAGAAACACCCTGATCATCTTGGCTATGTAACATCTCCTTGCTAACAGCTTATCTGCACTTGTACTTGACAACACTTATCATGTTTTTACCTTATCTATACTCTTGTAATGAATACAAATCTTACACAATATAAGCTCTGTAAGTAAATGATTCTTAAAAGAATCTTCTGCTTAGAGCAGTTACATGCCTGTCCTATTGTTGATGTACAATATTATAAAATAAACTAATTGATAAAATCTGTTTTAAAATAGTAATCAGAGCACAATATAGAGAACTTCAAATGAGTTTTGTCTTGTTTAAACAATTCTTAAAAAGTCTTTGAGTTGTTAGTATTTAAACCTGATTTCACATAAAATCTACATTTCAAATTTTTCTATACAACAGGAAGGATATACATCATAGAACACATGTTCACATGTGGCAATAATCTGTCGTACCTTCGGAATGGCTTCTCACCCCAGTTCTCCACCTGCTCTCCTCCCTCCTTATCTATGCCCAGCTGTCTGGACATTGGGTTTTGCCTTGATGGTTACACGTAGCTACATGAGACGGTAAAAGGCTGAGAACACTGAGAAGAGACCTGTCAGCAGTGCTAAGAGAGATACTAATTGAAGGATGAGCAGAAATTGTTTAGTTGGTAAGTGCAGGGAGTCAAGTCCAACTCATACCATCCCTATGTGCAACAGAACAAATCACCTCGGGTCCTGGACCATTCTCACAGTTGTTCTTGTGCCAACACAGCTTGGCAAGAGCCCTCCTGTGTGTCACTGCCCCTCTACTTTACCATGCATGACATCTTTCTCCAGGAACTAGTTTCTCCTGATTACATGCCCAAAGGATGTGAGACAATGTCTCACCATGTTTCCTCTAAAGACCATCTCGATTGTACTTCTTCCAAGACAGATTTATTAGTTCTATTGGCAGTTCATGGTACTTTCAACATTCTTGACTAGTCCCATGAGCCAAAGGCATCCATTCTTCTTTGGTCGTCCTTATTCAATGTCCAACTTTCGCATGCAGATGAGACAACTGAAAACACCAGGACTTGGGTCAGGCACACCTTATTCCTCAAGTTAACAGAAAATTACAAGTCCCAAAATGAGTCTGAGCTGGAGCATGTAGTAAGATTCAGTGAGAACTCGAGAACGTGGTTCACTGACACCAGAAGAAGAAGGCATTGTAGGGAAAGAACAGTCACAATCATATAACCCTCCGGTCATACCTTCTTCATGTCTTCGTACCTCAGAAACAGAACATTGAAACTGTGTCTGTGCTCGTACCAGCCTCTGACGTGATCAAACCAAAGGCTTCCCA